AAATTATTTGAATCTTAATGTAGAAAATATCATACAAATTAAAATAAAAAAAGTACTCTATATAATTAACTTAAAATAGTTAAATTCAAAAATTCTTTATACTTTCTTATATTTCGTTTCTAATTAAATTACTGCACTAGATTAAAATAGAGGGAATATAATTTAAGCACAATAACTGAAAAGTCTTGACAAGTAGCCACATGAAGGAAGAACAACAATAAAACAACCAATATAATCTCGTAAATACAATTGTTCGAGTTTAAAAAGGAAAAAAAAGAGTTTAAAAAGGATGAGTAATACACACTTTTAATTTTCAGTTAATAAAAATATTGAAGTTATTTTTTGATAGATCATAAAACATAACCATCAATATCATCTGACTCATAGTTCAACAACGTGAATTTCCCTGTTTGGGTAAACATCATCGTTGTTTCAGGAGAAAACAATATTTAATTATTAGATTCTGATAATATTAACCAATCAAATTATTAATATTTTCAAATTTCAAGCATGACAACGACACTTCATTTTAAGTAGAGCACATTTTATAGCAAAACCAGTGTTATAAATAAAGTAAAGACGAAAGCGAAATGATAATAAACTAATTCATTTAATTTGTTTTGTTCCTGTTTGTACCATTTTATATATATTCTGGAAGATTATTGACAAAATGTTATTTGACGAATTCCGAATAATTTACTAAATATGGCAAAACCACTGTTGTTTAACAAATTAAATATATGCGTTCACCTCATAGGTAATCGTACCCTGAATAGACTTCTAATGCACCTCTTAATACAAATAAAGTTATAATTCGAAAATGTTTATTTAGAGATACAAAGTGAAATCCAAATTAAATGGCTAGCTTGAAATAATCGCAGAGAACTAATAGGCATCTAATCTTAGGATATGGAATATTCAGTTTATTTTGATTTGAAATGAACGTTTTCTTTTTTAAAAAAAAATATGCACAAATTCTTAATTTAAATATCAATTTCTCCATAAAATATTATATATATGTATATGTGTATTTAAAAGTTTGTAATAGCATATAACTGCAAATACTTATTTTTTTTATTTATAAAAGGAACATGGAGATATGTGATTTATTAATGTGGTGTGGTGTGGTGTCTTAAATATTCCAACACCTTATGAATCATGATTTGCTCATTTGGTATTGTATAAGATCGGGAGAATTTTAATAATTTTCACAAATTATGAAGGGAAAATACAACTTAAGTTCAAAACTTCAAATTGCACGTCCAAACAAATTTCAAACCAAAAAATATTTGACCAAGTTAATAACCAACTCATTTTAACCCACTCAAATTCAGTTGAACTACTCATTTGATATCCCTAATCTTCTTCTCACTCTACCGGAAAAAAAGTTGTTGTTGACTTGCCATATTCATAGAGGAGATTTCACAATCTGTCCAAGATTTGTCGTGCTGTATATGGCATTATTATATTGGTACAATTAATGTTATTCCTTCTGGTTTTCCTTTGTATCAGTTATAAAAAAATATAAAAAATATAAATATAGATAGATATATAGATAATGAGTTTGTCAAATCTATTCTCTTTTACAGATCTAAAGATTAAGTTCGGAGAATTTAACTACTGTTTTGTAATGTTATTATAACTTATAAAAAAATGTATTAGCTTTTACTTAAGCCATTTTAATTTTACATTTTCCGATAATTGAAGACATTTTATTACCAGTAAAACGTCAGCTTCACTTGGTCTAAGGGTAAGTGTTCAACAGACACTAAACAAGTCCTCATCATGTTTAATTAACACTTGATTCTTTTTTTAAAACAACAATTAACACTTGATTTGAGGATAATATATTTGGATCTCGTCAAACACAGTTGTTGTCCAATTATAGAAAATTTTGCAAACATGACTAGCTTCTTGAAGGAGAGGTATAACATAATTGGACAACAACTAGAACAAATAAGTATTAAAATAAAGAAATAGTTGATGTTTTATTATTCTAATATTATTTTCACAAATAGAGACTACAACATGGAGAGTCATATATAGTGATGATTATTGGATCCAATCTGTCAAAGATCCAGAAAATCTTAATTTTTCCTAAATTAAGGTGCAATTGGGAGTAATGTTTGTTTTTAAAAGCTTTTTACCAAAAAAGAAAATAGTTTTATGTCATTTTTACATATAAAGAAATATGAAAATATTATTTTCTTTTATTTAAACGATAAATAGGTGGAAAAGAGATCTCATTTTCTCCCGCATATTTTGCTGAAATGAAGAATTTATTCTCCATTTCTCTGGCCTAACATAAGGTGCATGACAAACTGTGCTGAACATGGGACAATGTCAAGGCTCTTAATTGTTTTTATCAACTTAACAAATAAAAAAACAGATAATGCAAGATTATTGGAAGTGGGTTCCAGGAAATTTTATTATTTAATTCAGTAATTGATTGGTTTGTATGCACGACCACATTTTATTTGGCCTGCGGAGATTTTGATTAAACCTAATTTCACCTTCTTCATTATTCATTAATGTCCAATTATATAAAAAAAACTCTTCCTGATCTGGCCAAAATTAAACAAATGAAGTAAATTGCAATGCAATAAGAAAAATATTATTCTAGCTGAGTCCCTGGACCTTGTTTGTCTGGCAATGTAGTCTAAAATATTAGTTGAACAACTTATATTTATTGCAGTAGTTAAAATAAAATAATTAAAATAGTTGTTAAAAATTATTCTATAGAGAAAACATTACATGTCATAGTTAAAATGAATCAAAATTTTGTAAAAATGAAACAAAATAAAATTGAGTTTCCAATTTAAGTAGATTTCTCTTCTGCCAAGATCCATTCTTTTTTCCTTTTTCTTCATATAGTTAATCATTGGGCCTTTAAGAATTTTAGTAGTATGGACGTGTAAGAAGATAATCTTGTTTTGGGCCTATCTCGTTCATCTTTCCAAGATCCAAATCTTTTGAAAATTGGAATTTGACAACCCCTACATTTACTCCCTCCGTCCCATATTAGTTAGCACATGGATTAGATTCGCGTTACAGGCATGTTTGCCTTAAATCATACTCCCTCCGTCCCATTTTATATGTCACATTTTTACTTTGCACTTGCATTAAGAAATGATGTAACTTTACCCTTCTACCCTTATTTAATGTTTTCTTAAGTCAACTTTATTAATAAATGACAAGATTAATTAACTATTCTATCAAGGATATAATAGGTAAAATATGGTAATTTATGCATAAATTTTATAAAATGATAAATATTGTGGTCCAACTATTTAGAGAAAGAAATGACATATAAAATTAGACGGAAGGAGTAATTTTCTTCTCACAGGGTAACAAAGAATTGTCCTAAGAACTACCTAGGCAGCCCAGGAGTAATCTTAACTCAATCTCAAAAACTAACATAAATCACGACTCAAGATCATATAAGAAGACCACTCATCCTATATATAATTTTGTCCAAAATAATTTCCCCTTCACACATTCCTAATATTCATTATAATTATATTGTCAACCATAAAAAAAATTAAGGGCATTTTAATCAAAAGTCCTCATAATTTTTGGAAGTGAATTTCTTAATTTATACGCCAAAGCCTAAAACATCAATAATTTTAGGCCGGAGAAATTAGTATTCTCAATGTCGGACCTAGTTACTACACCTTCCATTTCCACTTATTTGTCCATACAACATTTTACACACCCATTAAGAAAATATATATGAATAAAAAAAATTGATTTCTCTAATCTATGCCTTATTTATTTTTTTAATCTTTAATTTATTTATATATGTATCTCTTAATTTTAGAGCAATTAACACCAAAAGTATAATTGGAAAAAATAATTCATTTTCCCCTATTATAAAATGACAAGTATTTGAGAACAACCATTTTTAGTATACATAATAACTAAAGGGAACGGATTTCTAATAATCCTAAGGGACAACTTTAGTCATTTAAATATGATCTGGATGGAGTGGAGAAAAAAAATCTATGAAGGAACAGCACTTCAGGCAGTTCTTGTCACAGAACATTGTGGTTTGGGAGAAAACATGAATTTCTTGAGGGTAAATTAAAATATATTATTTTTGTTGGTATAACTCTAGGAGCACATTTTGGAATTTAGTTATTATTATATTCTTTACTTTTTGTTTTACCTCTTCCCATTGAGTTTGAGTGATGAAGTGATTAAAGACTGTCCAAGCTAGAATTAAGAGTTTGGAGTTCTAAAAAAAGGATGGTTCGGATTAAGGCGGGTTCGAACCCACAACTCTAGCGTTTTACGATCACTTCTTTACCACTCAAGTACACAAGTTAATATACATTTGTTTATTTAATTTTCTAGTAAAAATACAGGGTCTACGGAAAAGCTACTGGTTCGTCCGAACCCACGAACCCCACCTCTGATCTTCTTTAATTTTGTGTATGGTTTGACTATGATGACGAAAGAAAACAAAAATGTAGAAACAAATATTACACCTAATGAAGAATTACAATACGGAAATTTCGAATGAAGTAAAAATGGTACTTTATGATACATACATAACTACTATTACTAGCTACTACTTGTTATGTGAGCATCCTCACATAACTCAATTAATTATGACTTCTTAGGACAAGCGTGACATTCTTTCAAGATTTTTTTTTAAAAAAAAAGGTCTTTGAGTTATGTTTGATTCACCCTTAGTCAGCGTCTTGTGTTTGAGTTTTGAATATGGGAAAAAATCCTATATTGGGAGGAGCACCACCTCATATGAACCTTGCAGTGTGCAATCCAAATTTAATCGGGGCTCAATGATAAGCTTGGAACACCAGGTGGAAACTAAAAAACACACACTCACATAACTGCCTTTACATAATGTAGGATATATTTTACTTTATCAAGTGCAGTCTTTGTAGAAATTGCCTAGGAGATAAACATCATCTTAAAAACAAACCAAAATTCTGTTGGTTCTCCAAGATTATGTGATTGTTGAGATAGTCTACATATTTTACAACTTCCTCAGAGAAAGTGCTAAGCTTGGGTCATCAACCTCCCAGTGACCATTCGGACATGCTTCGCCAAATCCTTTAGTGTCATGCAGAAACTTTCCTCCATCTGCACCCAATTTAAAATAGATTATGTACAATGCTAGTGTAACTTTTACATTATCAACATACACATATTGAACTTTTCAAAGTTCATAAATATTTACACTATCAATGTATTTTAACATGTCATAGCAGACATATAACATGTCTTATTTTCAAAGTTAGTAATTGCTAACCCCACTTTTTTAGGGATGGTAATTAACCTATATTGTCGAGGTATAAAAGTTAAAGTCAAAATTATAATTTTGGTTAACATATATATTCACAGATGATTTAACAAAATATATATTGGTGCAACGTAACTTTGAAGTATTTTAATTACCTGAGCTACTAGTGTGATATCAATTGATTGCTTCCCAAATGGCATCATACAGCTTTGAAGAATGGTAAGATGAAGCTTCTCTATTTCGTTATGGATATTCAGCACAAAGGCGTTGCGCCGCGCACACGTAATTCTGATCAATACATTATTATCTGAGAATCTTACTTCAATATCTTCTGCCCGTAAATCGCTGCCATTATTATTGTTTTCTTCAGATGAATCTTCCATTTCCAGCTTAGATTTATTCACAAACATAACTGATTTCTGCTTGGACGGTCCACTCCTTTTCTCTTCTTCCAATAGTTGCACTTTTTCTTTAAGCTCTTTCACGTGTTTGATTGCTTGCTCAAGAATTGAAGCTTTGTCCACCTACCAATATTATTCACAAAATGCCAACAATCTCCCTTTAAATTTTACCTTCAACCAAACACAGTATAAATCGTCTTAATCCTAATTATCTAACCTTATTTCCTTCCAACTTGATAGGAGTATTATTTTATCCCACCTACTAAGTGGGATATATTAGTAATCTTAAGGGTAGAAAAATGTGTTGAGCTATCCATGTGTATAACTAAAATCCAATATAAAATAAAGAAGTAAAGTTTTTTATAATTTGACTCTAAAAAAGAAATAAAAGTGGACGGAGGGAGTAGTAATTTGTATGTAAAATTGAAGTTGATGAGAAAAGAGATTACCTTTTTTAGCCCTGGAAGAATTGCTGAAAGTGCCACAAACCTCTGGCTAAGTTTCTCTCTGCGCTTCCTCTCAGCAATAATATGATGTTGTAAATCGACTGAAGGAATTCTTTTTCCCCTTTTTTTATCCTTCACATCGTAACAACCGTTTGATTTCACATATGGAAAAAACATCTGATCTGATGAATCACACAAATACATCTCATCCACAGCTTCTATTTTACATCCTTGATGACTAGGAAATACTGAATCCATATTATTATTATTAAAAGAAAGAAAACGATGTGAAGATGAAGAGATCTTATTCAATTTGGGTTGATGATGATCATCAATTGCAGGTCTCTTTGAACCAACTGGGAAATTTTCCATAGGGGTGATTTTCGATTTACTTTTGCTAATTTCTTGATGAAAATAAGAACGTGAATTAGCACGAGTACTATCTGGAGTAATAGACAGTTCACTAGTCTCTTGATCTTCAGAGATTGTAGATTTTTGAGTGGTGAAATCGTCGTTGGAATTGTTTTCATTCGAGTAGAACACACCTTCTTCCTGCAAATTAAATCATACAACAAATTAAGATATTATTTCGTATAGTATTTGATATGTTTGTACTTTGTACATACCGTTCTTGAAAACCATTGACTTAGCGATGAATTGTCCATCAATAGGTGCAGTTGATGATAATTTGTAACTTGCTATAATGTGTAGTACTGTATTATATATATTTGCATCTTATTGGGCGTAGGAGAAGATCGAATCTTTGATTGGCAACAAGTTATAAGGTTACTTGTCTTCAACCAAACTGAAAAGGTAGTTAACACTTTTATATTGAATATTTTATATGCCACGAGTGAAATGTTCTTCATTTTTTTCAGTTCTGATTTAGCACCACGTAAGCCCCCCCGTCAAGGATTCCTAATTATTGTGCTATAAACTAAAGCAAAATCGATTTTGGAAGATATGACAAATCCTTGAAAACTTAATTGATAGTACTATTTTTCCATTTTTTATCTTGAACAGACAGTGGCTTAATGATTAAAGTTTTAGCCATCCTTATACATGAACGAATTTTTAAATATCGTGGGATAGTAAAATAATGCTGTAGATTCCTTGAAATTATTTACAAATTATTTTGGTCCATACTCCATAGTCCCCCCGGGACACATACTGACTATAATATAGATTAGTTGTACTCATCGAGAAAATTATGCGATCAGTTTTCACCAACTGAGAGTGATATAAGTTGAAACATTGTAGTAAATAAAATATTAAAAAGTAGGGAAATGAATAATAATTTGAGTGAAAAACAAAATAAAAAGAGCATCAGAGAATGGGTACCAAATTAATAGCCAGTACAAGTAGAATTTATTTGAATATTTTGACAATTTCACATGTGAAAAACGAACTCTATATATACTTTGATAATGTAAAATGTGAAAAACGAATTCTAACAAAGTGGAGATCGGCCAACCATTAAAGAGAGCCAGTAGTTAATCAATCCTCTTTTTGAGCCAGTAGACATGTCTATAACTATAAAATCATGTCATTATTGATCTTAAACTAAAAATATATAGAATGTAAAAATTATATAACATGTCCACCTATAATTTCTGGTAAAAAAAAGTAGAGAATGCCCATAAACTGGATGTACCATCAAATTGTTATCACTAAACTGCAAGATTGAGGAAGAAGATGGATCACCAAACAAGTCTATAACAAATGCACATAGACCCTACTTGCAACAATTTACAAACAACAAGCACAAGTACATGATTTTAACTAAAAGATAATGAAGGATTTTAAGTTTTAACAACCAGAAATATTCTCCATATTATTAGAAAATCAGAATCCCAGAGACAGACAGCATCAAACATAATCCTAAAATAGCAATTCTGGCCTCACTCATCATCATGCTATTGCATTTCTACTGATCGACAAAAGCACATCTGATACAAGATGCAGACTGTCAACGTCAAATGGAAGAAGTACTTTCATTTAGTTTTAAGCAATAACTAAGACAAAAGCTGAAAGAACCTCAAAATGACAACTGTCATAATCTACAAGATACAGCCGAAAAGATGCAGCAATTCTGCTACATCACCTAATTGAACTGCACAAATGTTTTGGAATAAATAAAAGAATACTTAGTCTCCCCCCTGAGTCCATACCTTCACAGTCTTGTCATTCCCAAGAGAACCAGAAGCAATCATGTTCTGAGTGGGGTTGCATGATACAGAAATCACAGTATCAGTATGGCCTTCCAATTTTTGAACTATCTTCCTTGATTGGAGTTCCCATAAATATACACAATTATCCTCAGAACCACTAACGATATACTTCCCATTTGTTATGGAAAATGTTGATGAAATGCAGTACTTTGAGTTGACATGGTCCGTGTAAGTTTTCAGAACTTTTCCTGTCGAGAAGTTCCAAAGCCTCTGCAAAACAAGGAAAAGAAAAGCATGCAAAGGTCATTGAGCACGTTAACTAGCAGTCTCTATCATTAAACACGTTAAATAACAGTCTCCTTTTCATCTTTGAAAACAAGTTGTCAAGTAGCAGTTTCTAGACAATGAAAGTTTGCAGAGGGCATTAATCTAGACAAAGACATAAACTGACAGTCTGACACATTCCCAAACCAATTGAACTTATAAAACACTACACCTACTTCATTGTGAAATCTAAGCAATACTGAAATGTACAATCAGCTTAGTAAGAAAACAGCATTACTATTAGGAAACCGCATGGAATACATCTGCCAAAACGTAATGGTTCATTACTACAGGAAACTGGACTTTGAAAAGAAATGGATGATGGACTTTTCTTCTTCTTTTTTTGAGTGGGAGAGAGGAAACTATTTTAAGACTAAAGAGACTGACAATCCTTAAAGCACCGTGACAATTTTTTGCACAACAAATTCACTGTTGGTAGCAGTTAAATTTCTGAAGGTGCACGTGACCAACAGAAAAGAACACAAATTGTATATAAATCAAAAGAGCATGTCCTAAGGGCCAAAGTATATATCTTCTGCAGATTGACAAAAACTTGAGATGGATTCACATATCATAGGTCATAGAGAAATTAGAATCAAACAAAGCTCAACTACATGACTCCAACCCACATTTCCAAGATGACTAAAAAGCAGGGTGAAACTGAAAAGCTCATCTGTTGTTTTCTTTTACTAAAAAATAGATAAGTTTTTAGACTATTACTGTGCACAACAAAAAGAAACTCTATCGAGATATATAGTTCAGGGGATCGACAAGAAAAGGAACCCAACTTAAAGGACAACGCTCTCTGCAAAGAACTACACTGAACATAGAACAAAAATAAGAATGTGCATCAAGTTCATCATTGCCTTACTTTGTGTCTTCTTGACTTGGCTCGTCGGTTAATTTTTTATCCATATCAATATATATATATATACATTCTTCAAAAATATCCCTAAAAGCACAAATGTTAATACGCTAAATGTTGATCAACAAAAGTATCCCTAAAATGTTGCTAAGCCTTTAATGCCCTTTAAAAAATAAAATATTTCATCAAACTATGATACCACATGTGGATAAAACTGTAACATTGAAAGCTTTCCCAAATTAATATTTTAACTTTTATGGGATTCTAATCTGAATCAGGTTTCCTCATTGTTAAGTTCCATAGCCATACAAATTTCACAGGGATCATAACACATAATTTCAACCACCTCTTACTACCTACTTAAAGGGATACCTAGTCTTAATAATTGCAGACTTGCAACACACATGAAGTATCTTCTCATTGATTGTGCTTGGGTAACGAGGGCCAAGGTTTTGTTTGAGTTTTGAGTATAGGTATTTTTGTTTCTTAGTTACATATAATAATGATCGTATGGTGGTTTTAGCACTAATTTATTGGGTTTTGGGTAAGCACGTAATGTTGGATGCTTGATTCATTTCTAATATCTTATATTAATGTATAAGTATTCTATCAACTATTGTTGCATGCACAAAATTTCAGCTTGAGTGTTTTGGAAAACTAGAAGCTGAAAAAAGTGACGAGGGCTCACTCCACCGAATCGAGAAGCAAAGCACACACTTTTTTCAATGAAAGCATAGTTTAATATAATAATAAAAAATATTGTGCAGAGAAATCACCAAGAACTCAGTAGAAACAACATATTAAGCAAATCTTTCAATTTTTAAACTAAAAAGTAAATAATAGAGTACTAGAATAAAAAAGATACAGATTCTCACTACAATCACAAACAACAAAATAAACTAAATATTTGTAAGCTACAGCAAACAAGAAACTATTTTTAGCTTTTCCTGTTTGTTGCAGTTTGCAAATATTTATTTATTATTTTGTTTGTGATTGTAGTAAAATCTGTAGCTTTTTTTTTTCTAATTCTAGTATCTATTATTTACTAATCAAAAAATTGAAAGACTTGTTTCATATCTTGGTTACTAAACTATGCAAATTTAATATTTTTTATTATTGTATTAAACTGCGCTTCAATTGAAAAAAAGTGTGCGCTTCGCTTCTCGCTTCGGTGAAGCAAACCCTAGTCAATTTTTCGAGCTTCTCACTTTCCAAACACTAAGGGGGGAGAGAGAGAACAATCAAATTTACGCTTAAATTGATGCAATATTTATTCGTAGAACCTCTTCTCTCTCATATTCCACATTGATACTAATTGATATGGTTCAACTAAATCAACTGCCTATAAAAGACCTATGTCCAAAGCTGGATTACTTTATATCTTACCTTAGGGAATATAGGTTATAACTTTATAGTCATGCATTACTCTTACTTGAGGATATGCCTGTAAAAAACAAGCGACTAGAATACATACTTTGGATTGTATGAATTGTATATTGTAAAGGGCATAAATGACGAATTTAATAAATTCATAATTACAACACCAGTTTCCCTAAAGTAGAATTGATTGATCTTTAAAGCATGCTTTTAATATGATGTTCAATCATTTTGAACTACTATGTATTATGATACTTCAATAATATTGATTTTTAAAGATTATTGTATTTTTATCATGCCAATTACTTTACAATGAGTTTTCCTTCTTGTATAATTGTTTTAACAAATTTAACTTTAGTTCTTTCATATAAATAATCAACCGAAAATCTAAGTGTGAGGCACATACATAGAAACTCGTGATATAACATATGTCATACAAACAGATCAGATGATACAGACTATCATGCTTTGCAGAAAATGAAAAAGTAAAGAATGGCCATTTAAAGCAGTTTTTCTTTTCGTTTTATAAATGCATTTGCAGCCTTTTCCACTCTAAAGAAACTGCTTGCTGTTTTCTGCTAGGTGAATAAAAGATCATTATTCAATGAGAGAGAAAAGAAGAGGCCTCCTGGATGCAAAAATTCACTATTCTGCTAAGGTTTTGATGTCGGATATTGGTTACACACCAAGCCATTTCCCGAAAAGAAATCATACACTAGATCCCACAAGTTTGATATGAGCAGGGCATCCCTTATTCCTTCTTTTACTAAAATATAAAGGGGAAAAGAAAAAAGAACCAGAAACATAAATAAAGCTCTTGAATATACATGGATCATGGATGCAGATACTGATATTACAAAATTAAGAACTCTTTGATACTCCAGGATATATCTTGGGGCTTAGGTTGCAAATTTTGATGGGGAAGAGCCAAAAGCATGAGGAGGAAACGTTAGAATTGAACAATTAATAAACAGTCCTCCAACTAAACTCCCTTTTGGAGAAAACTAGAATGGAACATTGACAAATCTGTTGGTGGTTCCCAACAAATACACAATGAAGCTTGTATAACCAACCCTTTCGTGAAGATCTAGGCATACCAGCTTCATCCTATCTAGAAACTTGGGGTGTGATAGGCGGAGGTACTGAGAGATGTCTGCATAGCACTTCCATAATCGTACAGAACAAAAAGTTCATCGATTAATCCGGTGAAGTACCCCTTCATGCTATATATTGAAACATTCTTAGATAAACTCAAGAACTTAATACCAACTCCAACAAATCAAAGTAGTATTAAGGACCTTCCAAATGATCCCCAAAGTTGGATTAAAGCATAACTACAAAGAGGAACCAATCCAGTTTACAACAATTTCTAAATCCACAGTATTGCTCAAATTCCAGGGTTGGTCGACATATCAAAATTGTTCGAAACCACGTGAAAAAGCAAAAACCACTGGGGATAGCATTGGGTTTACTGACACATTAGCAAAAATCTAACTTTGATGTTCCATATTTCTAACTAAAAAGATAGAACCCATTGAGAAGTCTATGGTTCCAAAAAAAGATTAGCCAGTTTAGAGTAAGGAAAGAGATCTCAGAAGTAGTAAGCAGTTGACGTCTGTTTCAACACAGAATGCTTATGATGGGAACATGTAACTTACATCTCAACTTTATCCCTTAAGAGGAAATGTGAAGAATTTGTCAGAGAGAGATTGCAAGTAGTTTTGCTGGACATCTGATAAAAAAGTGGGGAATCAGGAGGACGAGACCAATTTAAGCAGCAGCCTTCACAGGTTGATTTGGGCGACTCAGCCTAGCCCAATCTGAGCAGTCTTTTTGGACAGTTTAATTTGCCATAGCCCATTCTGACCAGTAAACATTTTGACACTCGCCGAACCTGTTAATATCTTTTTGGATTGCATTTGCTACCCTAGTCCTAGTTTCTCTTTCCAGTTTCATCGCTTTTAGTATTTCCTTTTGGAAAGAAGAATTAGATGGATAATCTCAGTCCCTTAAATAAGAAATAAGATAACATAAATATCTTAGAAAACTTGGGCATGTCTTATGTCTATGTTGGATCAATTTACATCTGCTAAATGAACATGATTAGATACATTATGCTCAACTCTCAAGACTTGCCCATAACAGTAGTTCCAACTCCACCGAAAAGAACACAAGAAACCATATGCTGCGACTGAAGCACTTGATAGACAAATGCACTATAATCTTTTTATCATCAAACCTGACGTTCTACACAACATGAAACTCCAGAGCTCTTTTGACTTAATCAGTTCAAAACAGTAAAGACACCAACTTTGATGATCAAATCAAGTAACATGAACATTCATATTATGAGGAATCCTACAGAACTATCTTTACAGTGTCTCTGAATTCCTACATGGCCGTAAAACCAATTTCAACTCCACAGAAAATAAGAAAAGAAAACAGCTATCTAAAGTGGACAAAGCACTTGTGTAATGCACCTCAGAAGAACCTCCTTAGAGTAACTTCACCAAAAGCTACATTTTTTCAAACAAAATCTACCAAAACTCAACCTTTACATCTTATTCAACTAAAAGAAAAAACGGAGGAAAAGGGAAGTTCTGCTTTCGCAACTGGCAGCCAAAATCCAGTGTATAGAAGCAATAGGAATATAAATTGCTCACTGGATAGAACACATAAAAGAAAAGCAAAATTAAAAAAATCAAGAAACAGCAATAAAAAACAGAAACTTACCAGAGAATTATCCAAAGTGCCAACGAGTATAAATTTGCCATTGGGCGAGAACTTGACGAAGCTCACAGGTGGGTTTTCATCATCAATAATGGTCTTCATACAATGCCCGGTTGAAGCATCCCAAATTCTGCACAACCCATCATAGCTGCTTGACACAATCAACGAACCATCCCGATTAAAATTCACAGCCGTCACAGGATCGGAATGCGCCGGCAGCACCTTGAGACACTTCCCAGTCTTCACATCCCATAACCTAACCGTCTCATCGAACGACCCAGAAACCAACATATTAGCTTGGGGATTGAAGTTAACACAAAAAACATAATTTGTGTGACCTGTAAGGGTTTTGATATGGGAACCGGTGGAAACGTCCCATAATCGTACAGTTTTGTCATCGGAGGCAGTAACTAGGTGACGGCCGTCGGAGGAGAAGGCAACATCGGAGATACCCTGTTCGTGACCTAGGAATTCGTGAAGAAGGGATCCGTCGGAGACATCCCATGTTCGGGCAGTTTTATCGGCGGAGGAAGTGGCTAGGATTTTGCCATCGTCGGAGAATTTGACGCTGGAGATAGCGCGTTTGTGGCCGGAGAGAGTGAATTTAAGCTCGTAGGGTTTGAAAGATTCTGAAGTCTCGGTAGGGGAAGCCATGGAGGGTGTTAATTACTTTCAGAATGCCAAAAAAATGGAGTAGGGTTTTTCAGAGGTTTAAAGAACTAGAGGAAGAATGCCAAGCTTTAGCGACTGTTTTACATCAGACGAATCTGAAATATCAAGCTTCGATAAATCCCGGCACAAGTCTAGCTGTTTCCTTCCGTATAAATGGTGTGAGAAGCGAGATAAGAGTTATGCTTTTTTTCTTCTTTTTTTTTTTGGTGTTTTCAGATGTGATATTCTTGATTAAATTCGAATTCACGTTCCAAGGTACACATTGCTCACTCCTTTTGTCCTTTGGATCTTTTTTTTTTTTTTCTTTTCGTATTAGACCTTTCAAGAGTGCATACGTATGGTGGGGGAATCAAAATAAACTTAATTTTACAAAATTATTTATCCGGTGTGTTAACTTTAGCAAGCTTTATCATTTACTGACTTGATTTCTTTTGTAAACTTCAAACAGCGCAGTTAACAGCAACATGGAATTATCAAGTACTATCAACCACGCGAGAGTAGTGACTGAATTTTTCAATATTATGTTGATTATCTCGAATGAGTCAACTTCAATCTCCGATACTAGCAAATTACACATTACTCCGACTTATCAATTTTAATTGAATTAAAAAAATTGAAGGAAAAGAAAAAAGAATGGGAGAATTCTACGTACATACTTGAAAAAAGGTATCTAATTCAGATAATTTGAAACATTAATTTGCTTTTGAATTTTGGTACTATGACACATCAGCTCCTCACATCCCGAAGCAAATATTGACTTACCTGAACCTGACACTAAAGATTTTATATGCACACCATCATGGTCTAAAAGAAAAACACTCGTGTTACCATACAGTGAAAAAACATCTTTTTTTCTTTGTTGTGATAATACATAGATATGAGTAGCAGAACTCAAAACCAGCAACGATTTAGCAAGTCATTGTGAGTTCTCCAAGAGCTTACAGAAAATTTGGACTCTATGACTCACGTTTAACTGCTTCATCAACTGCCGGCAACTTCCAAAAGCTCACACTACTGAAGTATGCAGTGCACTCCACTGCAGGCAGCAGCAGCAGCACAACTACATTCTTTAGTCTTTACCTTGTTATAAGACTCGAATTAATTGAATAATCTATGCCAACTACTGGATCCACTAAATGACAATAAAACCTCTAATACTATATTATGTACAATTGGAGGGGCAAATTGAAAAAAGGAATCAAATGAAAGAATAGATTGTTTAAGCAAATCTTGGTGGCTGAGCTTCACGGCTATTGGAACTTAATGAAACTTTCTTGGTTGTATCACGGGAAGGAGGCACCTGCATATCTTGCAGGTTAAATAGCCCAAGTTTTGGACGCACATGATTAGAGTTGAGTGAGGCAAAGTTCTGGGTTAAGGGGCTACTGTGAAACCGACCATGCCTTGATACCCTATGAACCATCGTAATTCCATGGTGAAAGTAATCGGTGTTGCTTATATCTGCATGGCAGCTTGGCCGTATTTGCTGCCTGATAGAGCTTGACTGGACATCCTATAAGTGAGATAAAAGAGTTAAATGTATAAACCAAAAAGGAAACAGGAGAAAAAGAACATTGAAAGGCACAGTAGCTAAAATACAAGGAGGGAGGAAGTGTGTCCTAATAAAAATTGTCGAAGTCTTCAATACAGGGGAATTCAGAATGATTAGTTTGAAGGAATACCATCTGCTGCTGCCTGAAATCCACATGGGAGGGGGTCACTGTCATGCCACTTTCACTGCATGAAGAAAATTGGTTTCTTGTCGGTGCATACGAACTGCAAAATTCAAGAGGATGCCTATTAGGAACTTCATGAAGTGAAGTCCCATCTTTGAAACAACTTTCGCCTTCATTCAGTGTCATATTTTCTGATGGGGAGTAGTCATGCAAATAATAAGAACTGTGGTCTTCATCTCTGCAATGGATAAGTGGTGGTCTCCGATTTCTCAATGAAATTGGCGTAGAACAGAAGTATTGTTCAAGTGGCATGTTAGCACCAAGTTGAAAAGTTGGTGGAGAGGAAGATAAGGTAGTATATGTTCCACTTCCTGTGTTTGGCGACTGTCTTCTATCAGATAATTGAATTTGGGCAGTCATTGTCCAGTCTTCAATAGTTATTCCCTGTTTAAGGGCAAGATCCGTTATCTGCTTTTCATCAAGGCCTAAACTAAGGAGTAAACTCCACAGATTCTTTTGTGTTTCCCTTTGATTGTGAATTATTTGATCTCTCATCGCTATTTCAAGCTGAAGCTCAGTATTAGCAATTCCCTACATATATTTCAGTAAACAAGTGAGGTTCAAATAATATACCAATATTCAGACAAACTTACCATATGCAATTCTACATAAAAAAATAATTGTTTTCATTGGGCTTCAGGCTTCCCAATACTAGGAGGCAGCAGACCAATGAGTGGAAACATGGAAAGGAAAATTGGAGAGAACATAAATCTTGTGATGGAAAGGTAAAACCGGATAATTGATGCATCTTTTTTTCTGAAACTGAACTGGATAATTGATATATCTTCTTTGGTGGGATTAAGCAAAAAGAACAAAAATAGTAGTATGTGTTTACCAGAAGCCTGTATTGACTCAGAACTCTCAAGTAAGTCTTGTTTCCATTATTGCTAATAGCTTCATCAATCATAGCTTGGAGTTCACACCTCCGCTTCTCATTTACTTCAATTTCCTGCGCAATTTACAACTCCAGATGTGTTAAGAGAAAAGCAGAGATTGGATAATATAACCTACATCAGTAGTACTTAGCCACCTTCAGATAATTGTTACTGAGCTCATCATTGTCGCGAATATTATCAAGAACGACTTGACGTCTTGCTCTAAGAGCTCGCACGACTGCCCCATCCTTTTCAACAGCCTGAAAATTGAGGAAATACCCAACAAGAAAACATTCTTGAACTTCGTCATATAATATGGGATCTTCAACAAAAAGTCATACAGAAGGAGAAAGACAAGACAACACTAGTGATCTTTAGGGATTGAATAGCAAAATTATGAAGCGCCATGGATCAGACAAGAAATGAAGGAATGAAATAGAAGCAAATGACTACACGCTCTACTTCCAAAATCAGAGTAGACTGACCTTAGGGAAGAGACCATTCAAACAGTTGTAGTGCATTCATACCATAGGGAGCACTAGACATGTAATAGAAACTTAACAAGAAATTGCGGCTACTGATTTAACAAATACAAATCGTTGTGTGCAAGATAGGTAAATGCTTGGGGTAACACATGTTAAGTGCCAGAGAGAAGCATATAGATGTTTGGCAAATAGATGGTTCTTAGATTTTGATCAAGTTAAGAACACAATGATACTTAACCTGTTGTTTTGCAATTGCATCATCAAGATTTTGGAGTTCATTATGGTTGCTAATGTTCATCTCCTCTATCTCAAACAAGGCCTTCTGTAAATTTATCCTCTCCTGGACATTTTCACTGGTTTCATGGCTCAACGTGTCCAGCCAAGAAAGCTCGTCATCTGACGCTTTTTCAGTAGGCTTGGCAATTAGTTGTGTTTCTTTGTCAGCTAATTCCTTCCTCAACTGGCTAACCTCAATCTACAAGGAAAAGCAGCTCTCCTAAACATGCATGATTTTGTAAGGTCCAGACAAAAACTGCTAAAAATGTCAACTTGCTTACTTGAAGGCTATCGATCATCCGTTGGTAATCTGAAACGTGAGTATTGATTGTTCCAATGTTTTTCTGAAGAGCATAACAAAGCAGATCAGAACTGATGAGCAACACCTACTGGAATTTGTATTAACTTGTGAAGATAACTCAAACAGAATGACAGATCAATATCTCTTCTTCTTTTTGGAAAATTAATGACAGATCAAGGCAATGAAACAAACAAACAGCTCCAGTGAAAGGATGAAATTTGGAAAGGCAACACAAATCACATTGCATAGAAAATTTAAGAGTAAAGCTCAAGTGTAAATTTGTGTAGAGAATATGGTGATTTATCCCAAACAAATTCCAAGTTGAAACCAAGACGAATCAAGTACTACACGTCCTGAATTGCAAATTAGAATACCCAAAGTAGTTTCAGCATTTTGATCGACAATAGGCTCATAATGAAACAATTCAGTCATTATCCTGATTCCTGATTAGTTACTGGGACAAAAGGCAAATAGAAGAGTTTCTCAGTTGGATGTGAACGCTTAAACCATAAGTCACACAGAGGATTGGGCCGTACCAGTAAGCAAATCTAATGATCATACCAAAACATCACAAGAACAAAGTGGATTTAAAAGGAAGTCAACCGCATGAACCTCTACCCTTACCACAACCCTCAGATGACCCTTCACCAGAAGGACAGCTACATGAATCTGGTGATGTAGTTAACTTTTTCAGTACAAAGCAAACCATTAAGGACTAAAATTCAATTTATTCTTTTTAAACTCTTCTTATCTGCTCCATCCTTCTTTGTCAACGATTCTTATTAGTAACTGCAATTAGAATCATTCCTTTGCAATACTGGAACACAAGGCCTTCTTTAATACACTCAAGAGTCAAGCCATCTTAATGCATTCATTTCATTGGATAAACATCAGATGAGTCACCTATTCAATTTTACTTTTCTTGTTACACTACCTTTCACCCATCCATTCTCTATCCAAGGGTAACTGTAGATATTACTTCTTTATTACAACGTGCTAATCACTGCACCTTAAAAAAAAATTAACAAATGAAGAGTGTTTTTCTTTCTACTATGGGAAGATCATCATAATAAAAAAATGGGTCAGACTTTTAACTATGTAATGCATTGAACATCACAATCAGACCTGTTTATCTTCTTCTAATAAGATTCTAGTGTCCTTTGTGAGACTAGTATATTATATTGGACTCTAACCTGAATGTGTGTCTTAATTTCCTTCGCTCTGTCAGCATACTTTAAGGTATTCACAGTATGGTGATACTGGCTGACAGCTGGTGATATGGTGGCAATCATTATTGTTTGAGAATTACCACTCAGACCATCTTTCAGAATTCGTGTCAATTTACTGCAAAAAGAATCAACTAAACTAGTTAGCATTAGGAAAAAGATTCACCGCCAACATAACAACCATTCAAACACCTGTTGCGGTAAGGAACATAAGCTAGCCCCTTCTTCTGTTGTTTCCCCAAAGCATTTATGCAGTTTGCCAAAGCAAGAAGAGATCGATTAATGTTTGCACCATCTCTCAACTTTTGACCTCCACTATTTGTTTCACAAGCTCGTTCACTGTAGCAAAAGTTTCACAGATAACTATCACCTACGTTTTGCTCATGCAGGAAAAGAAGAAGAAAGAAGGAAATATTGGGCAGACCTTCCAGCAAGATCCACAAGTGCCAGCTTTCCTCTTATAACCTGATTAGAGTATTTGTCTCTCTGTTTCCTAGTCACAGAAATCTCCAACACTGCATGAGAACTGCTCAGAAAATATCAGTATTTCCATACCATTAACAAGGTGACGTGACCACGAAATTGAGCTAGTTGTAGGTTTTTCTTCATCTTGAAGCAAAAAACAGAGTTATCAAGAACCACCCCCTTTTCTTTTAGCTGTAATCGTTATCAGTGTTTCATGCCTGATAAACAATGGTAAGATTCACTTTTATGACTGTAGAGGATATAAGAAGTCTGTATCTAAGTCTTCTTTCCCAAGGAATCATAAAAAAGTAGAAGAGAAAATATATTTCAGTTTGCTGTAGAAAGCTAAACAGAATTTGAGGGAACCTAGGATAGAACATTAACAAAGTCATGGTTACTCACCGTGATGAAGTTTCATTGACCTCTGTGCTTTCTGTTTTTCGCCTGCTGTTCCCCAAATTTAAAAGCTCAAGGATTTTATCAGCTGAATTAACCTATTACAAGTAACAGGGTCAAGAACAACAGGAAAGGATCTTGTACCACTAGAGTAGAGCAAAAGTAATCAAAACGTAAATAGTCATTATCTAAAGAAACGGTGAGGCCAAAGAACAAGTGAGAAGACAAAATAGCCAAATCGACAGATGAGGAGAGCATCACAACTGCAGAAAGTATATCTTTTCACGTCAGACCTAAAAATAGCTGGAAAGCTAGAGAAACTTGTGTTAAGAAGTATGAAGCAGATTGTTGTTACATACTTTCATCGCCTAGGTATTAAAAAACTTGATGGACAGCATCTCAAAGGCATCAAGAGAAGAATATCATGAATACGCACTGCCACTTTAAGATGTGAAATCCATTGGGACTTCATAAAGCTATTGATTTTGAGGGAGTTCTTTAATTAAACCAAAAATAAACCTTGACCACAGATGTGAAGTCCAACAACAACAACATGCCCAGTGTAATCCCACAAGTGAGGAACGTGGAGGGTAGGATGTACTCACACCTTACCCCTACCTTTGTAGGGTAGAGAGGTTGTTTCCGGACAGATGCTAAGTCCAACCATCTAAAATGTGGCATTCCCTCAAAAAGATAAAAGTACAAAAAAATAATAAAGGGACGAACCTTGATACATCTAAGGCCAGGAACCACTATTCCTTGCTCTGGATCCTCTCTGAGCTCCAAGTGACCCGATGACTTCTCAAGTAAGTCATAGATTACCTGCTTATAACATATTTAGATGTCAAAAACATAGCCTAGATCACTTCAATCTAGAACTGATTATTCCATGCAAAAGACATCAGACCTCATTATAGACTTCAAGGTAGGAGCAAGTAACTTGAAACACGTCAGAGCTTTTGTCATTCTTGATACGATTGAATATAGTGTTAAGACTCAGAACCATAAGTCCAGGGTCATCTTTAGTTCCAACCATTGTATATGTTTTTCCACTGAAAATACAAACACTTGTTCAATATTAAGATTATCTTATAGAAGCACTCCAAGCCCCTCCAACTAGAATAGGAAAAACAAAAAGACAAAAGTACAAGAAGAAAATAAGAAAAGGAAGACAAGATAATAATTTCACTATGTTTAAATAAACCCCACAAGTGACGCTCTTATTAGCCCAGCTAAAACCCAATAAGTTGTCTTTTCTTAAAATCAGTAGAGAAGTGTATATTAAGGGACAAGCAAACACAGGAATAACTCTTTTAAGTTTTTATATGAGAAGATCACTGATATGGCCTGAATGGAAGCCTAAAAATAACAAAATGTCTATAACTTCCATTCAACTTTGCAACAAAATAAACCTTTATTAACCAATCTCTGCTTTTCATTTAATTTCTTTGATCCACACCAATCTTCCAGTGCCATTAATGTATCAAGTTTCTCATTGTATTCAAAATGATCGTTGTTGTAGCATTTTGCATCTCAACTTTAGCCACTCACCATGTTGTTGAAGGAAGATCATACTAGTGGTACTTGATGCTAATACATGGTTAGTTTAGCAGTTTTTAAAAATTCCATATCATGACAGGGTATTAGGCCAATATTCCAACCCCAGGAGATTAATCATAAAGGTTCAAAAACCACAGAGAGGTCAGATGTTCTTAATCCAATGTTGTATATACCTGCCTGTTGAGCCATAAGCAAAGACAGTTGCATTCAGGCCTTGACTAACCCCAGCAATTGTAGACTGAATACTTCTCTCATAGACGCCCTGAGGTTTACAGCATCAGAGTTTAATAAACGACATCAGATGCAAAGACATATATTGGCATCATGCATACATGAAGGAGATGATAAAAACTCAAGGGAAGCAAAGTCTAGAAAAAAAAATACTAACAAGGATAATATGAAATACTTGCCAAATTTGTAGATTTAGGTCCAAATGCATAATCAAAAGCATATCTTCGTTCTTTGCTACGATTCTGTATGCGATCTAAGTAATCCTTTGACAGGTCAGGATCCAGAATAACAACCTCCTATATTCATCATTGTTGTCATGAATTACCAAAATTTACTGCTCAGGTTAGTCAATCAACTCCACAATGAATAGACAATGTTTTTCATATAGAACAGTAGAAAAATCAACTCCACAATTACCTTATCATTGTTTACTCTAACTATATCGCGGCCACCTTCTCTATCCGTCAATGGCCTACATTTCACTGCTACCTACATCCACCAGAATGATACAGACAAAGCAAAATACACATCAAAAGTTGGATAAACATACAGAACATGTGATGCTAAAGCAGTCCTGAATAGAAACGTTACCGAAAGGGTAGTGGCTTTCCTTGCAGCTGGAGCTCTAATGCTTGGCATATTTGACGAACATTTGCCTCAAAACTTCACTAAAGGTTTGAGTATTTAGCAACCAGAAGAGGAATTTTTTTTTCAATTTTCAGACCTATTTTCTAATTTGAATTCTGACGACGAACTTCTACTTGTAGTTCACAGAAATTACTGGCGCTTCGCCAAGTAAAAATGCTTCGATAATCAAATCAAATACAGTTTCCAGCCAAATCGGTAACCGCAGTTCGTTCAAACAATTAATAGACACAAACAACTAGATTTCATCAAAGGGAAATGAAAATTTCTCGAGAACCGAAACGGAAAATATCTGTATATGCAGATGACTGGGGACAAAGAGCAGAAGGGAAAATTGGAGGGGTTTCCTCGAGATTAAAGAAAATGAATGTTTTTTTAATCTCCCGAAAATCGTTACTTATATCTTTGAAACAGTAAATTTATTTATGAGGGAACTGAAGGTGACCACCACGCCAAATATAATCCGTATCAATGGACACGGAAGTTTAAAATTTTGATAACTCATAGTAAAATATTTAAAAAGATATATATAAAAAAATTTAATTGACTTTCAAAATATTAACTATGAAGTTACGTGTTGTGACAAATATAAATTCAGAAATGTACAACAAACTATTAGTGGATGCAGTAAATGAATTTCCTTTTTTTTATGTTGTAGATTTCATTAAATATGGTTATGGGTTTTACCTTGAGTTTGGATGAGGGAGGAAAACACTGAACCTCCAATTTAGTTAACGATAGTGACCCTTGATCGTTATATTAATGTTGTGTTTGGACTTTGGTTAAGATAGGTGAGTTATTTTTGGAATCTTATGGGAGTGGAAAGACAATAGAAAAGTTTCTACGTTGCTTCTTTTGCATAAATTTACTTTTTGGAATTATGTGGGGACAAAGACATTTTTGAGTTTTGCAAGAAAAGTTTTTCATTGTAAAATAATGAGAAAACTTTTTGTGAAGTTTGAGAATATTTGAATTTAGACCCACCAGCTTCTTTACTCTCAAGTTTTGAATCCACACAGATTTCTTTTAATTATAAAAATGGAAGGCGTGCCAGCAACAACGGCAAGAAAATACAGATTGTTTTCTTCTAATTTGAATAGTACTTAATATTTTACATAACTAAAAAATCATTAAAAATTTACTTTTTCTCTCAAGGCATTTGATAAAGAATATGTTAATAAAAAATACTGTATCTTTTATTATTTTTAAGAGTGAATAGTTTTCTTAAAAAGTGTCTCCTAGCTACCATTTATTATGAATCCGAGAGAGTAACTAATAATCATAGCAATTTGACCACCTTATAGTAGAGTTTAGGTTTAATTGAATGCAATTAAATAATTGGGGGGGCCAACATAATTTGATTTGTTTGTTTGGTCAAATAATTACTTAAACAAAATGAAATTGATTGCATACTCTTTGATTGACAAAGGGAGACAAACAACTAGAGGCAAACTCTCTTAAGACCCGTTTGGTCATAGATTTCCCAAGTAATATTTGGGGGGAAATTTGGCAAACAGTATTTGTCCATAAATTTGTCATTATTTGGCAAATATCCCAAATTCCGAAATACTAATTTTTTCTAGTATTTGGACCAAATCTCATTATTTGGATCTTTCAAAAATTAAAATTTTACATCAAACTTTTTTCTTTTACAAAAGCACCCTCTATAGTAGTTGTTTGCGTTGTATTACATATTTTTTTACGTGAACACCAAAGTAGTGATGAAATATTCAGTGAATATGAAAGTGATGATATGGTTGTTGATGAAAATGATGAACAATCGGCTCATGGTAATAAAGTCATGTGTTTTGTCTACTTCACGATATGAAATGATACTTGTTGCACTCACTCCAAACTACCACATTGCTCCAGTGTCATGGACACTACTTGTTATTTGTTGCAACGAAGATCCAATTGACGTGTAATACAAACTTATGATTAGTTTTGATAGTTTTTAAAACTTATGGGTATAAATCATATTTTTCTAAAAAATGAAATATGTTTCCCAAATATTATGGCCAAACACATGGTGAAATTTCACCCAAATAATATTTGTCAAGAATATGTGGAAATGTATGGTCAAATGCTAGTTTATTACTACTTCATTTGTTCCATATTAATTGTTCATTTTTTCTTTCACGTATTCCTTAAAAAATTATAAATAAACATTAGTTGGTCCAATATAGTAGTAGGTCCAAACAGTCTACCAGAAAACAATGTAGACTGCTTGCTCTCATATCTAATTCATCAAAATGCAATAGTAGTAGTTGGTTATCTTTTACCATAAAGAAGAAGATGCAAGTGTCATGAAGAAGTAGGGTCGGAAGGTACATCTATAATGAGGTTTACTGACTCACTGGTCCCAACACAATGAGAGACAAAAAACACAAGAGGGACAATGAAGAGATAATTTTGGATCCATCTCACTTGTACTTAATCTGCAAACATGATGACTAAGTACATCTTGCTAGCCAAGTGCACAGGCATATTGCATCTTCTCACTGAATCATTAATTTAGAGATGTCAAATGAACTGAATACGCGGGTCAAAATGATTCAAAAGTTACTTGGGCTGAAATGGGTTAAGGATCATATATGGATGAACAACTTTCACATATAACAAACATAAAAATCATATTTGTATGTTATGACTATAGTTTGCATAATTACACTCCATAACAATTTTTATGTTTGCTATGGAGCTTTTGATTTGTATAATTAGCTAGATACATCCAATTTTATACAAATTGTTCAATTTTGTATAAATTCATTTATATATTGTAATTTGTATAATAAGATCTGTATTTGTATAGTTATAAGTGTATATGACGAAAATATATGTATTTGTATTTGTATATACACTTTTCTCTGGCTTTATACTGGTTTTATACAAACACAAACGTATTTTATACATTCTATATCGAAATGTATAAAATGACTAATTGTATACCGAATCAGATGGCAAAAAAATGGAATGTTTGCTGCGAATTACAAATAAAATAAATTATGGCTATAACATTTAATTTGAATTAGTAGTTTGTTATTTCATACAATTTTCCCTATATGGATCATAACTAAACTCATTCAATTCTTTAATACTCATCACCTCCATCTCACATTACTTAATCTATGTTAATTTGACACACACCTTAAGAAAACTTTTATAAAACTCTCTTGATTTTTAAGTAATATGAAACGGAGGAAGTGCAATTTACTTTATTTGTTCTTGTATAACCTTTTAGCACCTAATAAAACTACTGCTTTTCTTTATCATTATAATATTTAACATATCAAACTAAAACAATGTCATTTTAAAAATATTTTGACAAAATTTCTAATTGATCAATTTGAGTTACATATTACTCAATTTTTGAGGGGCTAAGTCGATTAAACTGAACAAATAAATGGAGAGATCAATAACTTGTCCGAATTTAAATAGATTATATTTTCATGGGTTAATTTTGCCATCTCTAGAAATTATTATGTTCAATTTTAGTTAAGAAGATCTAGAGTAATAAAATATAGAGAGCAGAACAACCACAATCTTTAAATCATAAACCTGCCACAATGTACTTTTTATGTTTCAATTTGTCTTCGTGCCAAGAAAATGGCATATCTCTTTATTTTGGAAATAAATTTCCTCTTAAGAAGCTTTCTTATAGTCATGCAAATGTCACTGAAATATTGATATGCCACAAAAATGTTATGATATGTTTTAAGACGATTGTTTTTTAAAAAATATTTTTTTTTTCCCAAATCAAATTATAACAAACAAATTGAAACACACATATGCTGAAGTTAGATCGCCTTGACTAATCAACAAACTGGAACCAAGAAGTGAATTTGATGGCGCATGAGACTGACTGCTCTTATCTTAGATGTTTAAAATGGAGAAAAGGACATAATCTTTTGGTGGATGGTTAGTTGGGGTATAATAATTTCAACGTTGACGACACTGCTATATGTCGCTTTCAGTGTTGGGCCTAGCAAGACTCGTAGGAAAAACTATAGAATACGGCAAACATCAATAGTATATATTTAAAACAAATAGCAATAGTTTATTATTTTTATGTTATATGGATATAACTATACAATAAATAGCAAAGTTAACTATATACAAATAATCAGGAAAGTTATTAAATATTAAATAGGAAAATGATAATTAATTATGTCTAGGCACATTTTATGTGATCAGTTTTTCAATTTTATCCTCATTAATACTTTCTCTTTCATCAATATTCCTATATCACATATTCTCAATATTTTCCTCCCATATTCCTTCCAATTTAAGATCTTTTTGATGATTCTAGGAGCAATTTTTGTGATTTGAAATCATCAAGTATCTTTTAATTGATTTTTTTTCTCTTTTTTATGAAGATTAAATTGGTATCCATCTATATTTTCATCTATTTTTATAGGGGTTCAATTGAAGACTATCAGTGCTGAAACTCGAAATGGCTAGCGACAGTAAAAAGACATATTTTTTTAATGTAGAAATAAAGACGCAATAAAGATTTTCTGATTTTTTTCTTTTAAGGTGGCGGGACAGGGGATGGGTGACATAGAAGCAGGGGTGGAGCCACCTTATACTAAGGGGTTCATCGGAATAAGGGGTTCATTGTTATATAATTTATACATAGTTAAAATATTTTTTTTATGTATATATAATAGATGTTGAATCCCCTTCGGCTACTTCATGTGTCTATTTCTACAGATTTTGAACCCCCTCATTAAAAAAATTGGCTCCGCCACGGCATAGAAAAGGGGAAAAAGATTTTAAAATAAAACAATGTTTTTCATATCAATTATTCACTAGAGAGAAAATTCAATTATTCGTTTAGAATTGGCAATGCCCTCACTTGTGTCCGTCCTATTGACTAAAACAATTACTCTGAAAGAATACGCATTCTAATACATTTTTTATTAAGTTAACAAAAAACCGTCATGTAATAGGCACCCATATGATATGGCATGGACAGAGAGATAAATAGGTGAATATGTAAAGAAAATCTACTTTACAAGTTTTTTATTGCTGTATATGCAGAGATATGAATGTCGCAGCACTCTGCATCCCACGAAAAATCCTTTGTCATGGCATAGACGATCGATCTTCTTGTCCCATTTTGATGGGTTATTCTTCTGTAATAACATGACATAAAGCAAGATTAAAAAAATCTGCTCTTTTTCGGGAAGAAAAGTACTTACCAGAAGCAGACAGCTGAGTGAGAGTAAAGTTTCTCATATTTATTAGGTTCTTTCGGGTCCATAGGGAAGGTGTGGAGAGACTTTCACAAGACTCAACTACTTACAAGTTCATCAATTGCTTGGTTCAGGGGCATATTGGAGAAGGTATCATTGATATAACGAGAGAATTCGGTGCCCTCAAGATCACGATCCACAAAGTGCCTGTTCATCCAGTAATTCTCAGCAAGCAAGGAAATAACAAACCTTACAAAAAGACATTTTTCAGCTTATTTTTCATTAATTGTTAACTAACCCGTATTTACTGTCGGTAAAATCCAGTAGAATAGGCATAGCTCCATATCTCATGGCCTTGAGCTACAGACATGAACAGAGAAATGTCAGGAGCACTACAATTTCAGCATCTAAGAAAAAGCAGACAGAATCTAATGACTCAAAAGAGAATCAAATATGATGTCAATTAAGTGTCATTAACAACGTTCATCAATTAATTGTGGAAAACAAAGAATGTTGCATGTATTCTAAATTTTTAGAACCCTTCTTCACTTCTCCAACCACGCATCATACTGAAACAAAATGTGTGGCCAATGTCTTCCATGGTGAAATGTAATTCTTCATAATAAAAGGTTACAGTATTTCCCATGGCAAATATGTACACTAAAGTGTAGACAGACACCTAGATCTGTGAACCGACATGATTGCTAGAACATAATCAGCATGTGGATATTAATCCCATCGTGTGCCTAGAACAAAGGATCGTTTAGATAAACTGGAAGTTGGTAATAAGCCGTCTTAGTATTTAAGGATGTCCAATTCTACTATGTAATGATCGAGTTACGCTAATGTTTTATGGTTTCAGCGTTCTTTGTAACTTGAAGACAATGCTTTAGGCTTCCAAGTTCTATATCACTCCTATGTACTCCTTTGAATCTTTAGTAAGAAGATAGGGTCCAGCATAAGTCATAACCCCCCGCCCCCCCCCCCCCCCCCAGGTACATGGTAGTCTATTTTTTGCTTTTTTAATTAAAAAAGCATGCTGTTTCATGTTTCCACATTAGTCCACAAAAGATTGCAAAAGATAGAATTTTGCGGAAACCACTTACTGGTATTTGGAGTACTGTATCATCAAAAGAAGGGCATAGCATGATGTCAGATCCCGCAAGTACTAAATGTGCTAAAGATTCATCATATTTATTAAGAAATCTCATGTTTTCATCCTGTGGTATTGAAAGATTCAACAATAATTTTAGTTGCAAAATCTTGTGCAATTATACATTGCAATGAAGGAATGCAATTACCTTGAGTTCCTCCTCAAAATATTCTAATGCCGAATTTGAACCAGGAGTTTGACCCGAGCCCATGAAGACAAACTGCACGTCACCAATTTGAAATTCTCATTGGTTTAAATAAACTCAGAAGGAAGACAAAATAACAGATATAATTTTTTTAGTCATTAGTTTTCCAAATAGAAGTGCAAACCTACCTGAAAAAATCATCAGCAAAGCTACGACATCAAGAGACAGACATACGGAGAACTAGGGGTGTACATGGCCGAGTTGGTTCGGGTTTTCCAAATATCAAACCAGATCATTTGTGTCGAATTTTTAAATTTATAAACCAAACCAAACCAATAAAACTCGGGTTTTTTCGGATATTTTCGTGTTTTTCCGGTAAAGTATTCATACAAACATATAATTTACTTGTACTTCAAATATTTCTTTAGTCCTATCAAAATACAAATATCTAAGGTATTTCTTAAAAAAATAACACAATATGATATGATTAATGACACTAAAATATCCAACAAAAATAATAATAATGAAATCGCGTAAAACAAATATTGCAAATTAACAAGTCATAATGAAAATGATCATAATTTAAAATACTAAATCATGCTAAAATAAGTTTAATAAGTATTAGTTACATGACTAAATATTAAAAGAAATTAAAATTAAATCATGTATTTTAATTGTCTAAATCAATGTAAAACTAAAGAACAAATATTCAATATTATTGTCATTCTTAGTGTTGAATTGATTTTCTTTTTGCATTAGTATTAATTTGATTTTGATTTAAGCTTTATTATAATTACTAACATTTGTGGACTATAATCTTTATTGGACCATTCATAATTCTAAGTTTCAAACTTGAAATAATATATTAAAAGATAAAAACTATGAAAAAGTACAAGAAATATTTAAAAATTATATCAAAGTAAATATTTTTATGTATAAAATAAAATTTTAAAATTATATATATAATGTCGGGTTGGTTTGGTCTCGGGTTGATTTTTTTAGTTAAAACCAACCCAAATATAGTCGGGTTTTTTTTTTCAATACCAAACCAAGTCAACCCAAACCACTGGTCGGGTTTTTTTTCCGGGTTAACTCGATTTGCGGTTTGGTTCGGTTCGGTTTTCGGTTCGGTTTTGTACACCCCTACATAGAACCATGACTTATTTGAGAAAAGCAACAACAACTACGCCTCAGTCCTAAACAAATTGGGGTCATCTATATGAATCCTCAATGACCATGTTTCTCCATTTAAATTCATCCTAAGGCCAAAAGTACTACGAAAAATAAAAAGTACTAGAATTTATTTTCCTTATGGAAAGCACACCAAACTTATTCAGAAGAATGACCTGAACACCTCTCCTTGAAGCCATCCAAATAAGCGTCTTGAGGTTCTCCAGTTCAATATCAGAGATGTCTGAGAAGATGCATCCTACCTGAAGATACATCATTAATAAGCTAAACATATGATGATACATCAGTTGAACACAATATTAAATTTGAACTACAGTAATGATGTCCTCATCTGGTCACACTACAACAGATGGATGTCTTAAAACGAAGCAAGTTATAATCAAGAATCAATAAAGGATTTCATTGAGAGCAAAAGAGGCGCACATCAAATCGCATGTCACCAATCTTCCATGGAATAGTACCTAGAGAAAATTACCAAGAGGAACCATAAAGTTCAGAGAGAACATTTGGGGTTTAGAAGTTCCTAAAAGGCATCCAATAGAGTAAGGGACATAAAATTTAGCAGCAAAGCAGACATTTTACCCAATTCTATTAAGAACACCACTGTTTTCCTTATGGAAAGCACACTCAATGTCATTCATACTAAATGAAAGTAAAATCATCAGTATAAAGTGAAGAAAATGTTTGTTTCAAATTTCCAGAAACTCTCCCCCCCCCCCCCCCCCCCCTCAACTACTTTGTCCTTCTAACTTAAGTGATACTTACTCATATAATAAAATATTATGTCCCTTGATCAGTGGCAGCACATAGTTAGGCAGACTGACCTAGACAATTTCATAAAGAAGAAGCTAAAAGAAGAGATAATCTTTGAGAAATCCCCATCAATAGTGTTTGGTTATAAACTTTTGCAGGTAAATCTTCAACCAGAGTAAAACCTACAAGAACAATGGATGCTTTCTCCTGCAACCCCAGATGCTGCTGCAACGAAACTTTGCAGACATATTTCCCCTTCATATTATCTGCACTATAGTTTTGTGGAAGAAACTTATTTACTGAAGGATCCCAAGCTGAACTGTCGAATCCAGGAGGAGCAACTACTAACTTGTCCCTACAATCAAGTTGTATTAACAAATGAAAAGCAGCCCCATAAACACCAGAGGGGAAATAATCCTAAGAGACTACTAATCTGTTGCAGCAAGCAAAAGCATCTCTAGAGCCTTTAGCAAAGAATAGAACTTGCCAAAGAATCATAAATCCATACTGGGCCTGATTGTAAAATATTGAAGAACACATACTTGTGTATGGTTAAGGTGGGCTCAAGACCATGGCTCGTAGCATGAATTGTCTGCCCTTTTGTTTGCATGGATGACATTATGATAACATTGTTGGAGTAAACCACTCCAACCTGGACAAATACAAAGGAGCAAAATGTTACATGATGCACACTAAAAGAACTCAACTTTGTCTGGAGATAATCCATTGAATGAGAAAACCAAAAGGCAAAAAAAAATGAAAAAGTCATATTTATGGGAAAATATAAATGAAAAGCGTAGATGGGGGGTTCATGTCGCCTGTTTTCAAGTTCAAACTCTCTCCAATTATCATGTGCAGTGAATATGAAGTAGGAATCCCTTCTAATGGGAATACAAATATTCCACTTATGTGACCAAACGGCATCCAGTAACTGTACAGTCAAGCATCCAATGGAAGCAAACAGTTAAGAGGTCAGAAAGCATCAAATACCTTCAAAACATTGACAAGATGGGATTTGTTGTTATCTTGCAGACGGTCAAAACAATGTAGTCCATAAGGATCAAGCCCACATAGGGCTAACTTTTCAGGTTGCTCTACACACTGACACATATGACATTCAGAGATTGTCAAGAGGCTTGGTACATTTCAAAACCATTCTAAGAGTAAAATAGTAAATGAAACACATAATGGGGCTCTTGCCTGAGACTCAAAGCTTTGACATGTCAACATTATCCTGGTACCTCCAAGTCCCTGTACATTTGAGAAGGAAAAAACACATCAAACACCATAGTTTTTGTCTAATTAATACCACAAAAAGAGCATCATAGAGAGAAAGCAGGACTAGTCGCCTGAACCGTGTTAAAACAAAATTCAGTTGCATTATATGTGAAGTAATACATTTTAGTTTACAACCGCAGAAGAAATATATAACCAAACCCATCAAAATTACCAGCAAAACACTGTAGTTTTTTCATGTCAATGGCCCAATTGAACAATAAGGTCAAGAGGACATTCGGTAGGGAACTAAGAAATCAAATGCACATCTCCTAAAAGGTGGGAGGGATTGGAGTTAATGATCTAAGTGTCTGTAACAAAGCGTCGTTGAGTAAGTGGCTATGGAGATTTGGGGTGGAGGTACAAGATTTTGGGAGAGGTGTGATGGAAGGAGGTGGAGAACAAATGATGTCACTATGCCTCATGGGTGTGATTGTGGAGGAATATCATGAAGGAATGGGTAGAATTTAGAAACATTATATCATTCAGGATAGGAGAGAGTTAGTTTCTGGAGACATGGTGTGGGGATAACTTGTTTAGGGCTGGGCAATCGGTATTTCGGTTCGGTTTCGATTTTTTTTTTCGGTTTTTTCGATTTTTGGTTCTTGTATCATGTGTACCGAACACCGAACCGAAATAATTCGGTTCGGTTCGGTTTTTATTATTTCGGTTCGGTTTATATTATTTCGGTTCGATTTTTGTTAGTTCGGTGGCTGGTTGTTGCTGGTCGATCGCTGGTGGTCGCCGGTGGCTGCTGCGTGCTGCCTGCCTGCTGGGTGTCGCTTGCATGTTGGCCTGCTGCGTGCTGGTCGGCCGGTCGTCGTTGGCTTGTTGCTGATCGGCCAGTCGCCGGAAGTGGAACTGGAAAGTGGGAAAATAAAGTGACTGATGTGCGGCTAACTGCTAAGAAAAGATTGAAAACAAAAATCTGAAAAGTCAAAAGTTTGAAAAGTAAAAGGCTAAAAGCTGAAAAGTGAAGTTTGACCTAATTTTGTCTATATTTTTATTATTTAATATTACTAATTAATATAATATTAATAATATTATAAATATAATATAATATATTTCGATAAACCGAAATACCAAAAAATACAAAAATTCATACCGAAAACCGAACCGAAATACCAAAAAATACAAAAACTCATACCGAATACCGAACCGAAAACCGAAACCGAAATACCAAAATTCTTCAGTTCGATTTGATATTTCGGTTTTTCGGTGTTTATGCCCAGCCCTAAACTTGTTGAAAGAGTATCATGCCAAAGGGAGTTGACAATCTAGCAGATTCAGAGGATACAAAGTGAAGAGATCTTTTGGGACCTGAGATTCTGAAGAGATTACCATGATTGAAAGGTGATTGGGTTTCAAAGATTGTTTGCTTTGCTTCAGAAGCAAGGCATACCAGTTGATAGCCTCTAGCTTTTTCTCATTTCATTAATGAAAAAGATATTTACTTAATCAAAATAAAAATAAAAAATCAATCAAATGGCTCCACGTTGAAAAGAAACAGAGTGACGCTAGATCTATCTTACTAATAGTAAACATGTAGTAAGAAGTTTATCGTTATTGAATGCAAATGCTAAGAAGTGAACCTTATTTACAAAAACTTCCCAAAACAGTAAACCAACAATAGATGTTTCCCAATTGTGTATATGAAGCACATCCGGGTGCTTTCCTGCTTTAACTATATAATCCAATGAAGCACGAGAAAAGTAGGTGAATCTGTCATCAAATGATAATTCAGAGAAAATCTTGAAAATACATGTCACTACTTGACAACTGAAGACTTAAAGTAAACTACTGAAAATGTAAGCCCATGCAGGAAGAATAGATCACAAAACACCACTAACACTCAAATACAGGTGACTTAGAGTAACTTCTTCAACCAACTAGCCGGTTGCATTGCAGAGATATTGGGGGTGGGAAAGAGTGAGGGGGTAGAGTGTATACAAACACACTGCCCACTAGTAGGTGTTTTTTTCTAATTAAACTATCAGATCTACGGACATACACCTATGCTTGAAGAATCAACCATCCAAACGTACTTAAATCTCAATAACATGGTCTTCAAGTCTTCTATTGCCATACAACATGGACAATTCTGTGATGAACATGCTATTGCTCAAAGTCATGATACCTTTATTTGCAGTTTTTTGCCTCATTTACTCCTATCCTCATATCACAAGAATTAGCCGAAGAGCAATTTAAGAAACTTTCTAGGAATTATATCTTGTTGAATAAAGAGAAATTCAGTAGAGATAGTTGAATCTAATCTAAGTTAATCATGATACGACCCCAACACATCCACCAGTCTAGTCAAACAGAAAAGTATTCAAAAGCTAGCCTTAAGCAATTAGGAGTTTGTTTGGGATAAAAATATAAAGAAGTTCAGCAAAATTTAACAACTTTGCAGAAACGAGTCATTCTCTACCAGACTTCAGCTCTAAACAACAAACGAATACTAGCATTTTTTCTATCATTGCTACAACTTAGAAAGAGCTAAAATTATTTAGCATTAACATATCACATTGGATCTTGACCACATTTGACAGTGCATTCTATCAGTATGAATGTTACTGTCCTTTAGAAGTTCTTTGATTTCATAAATGTTACCTAAGCAGGTATACAACAAATAAATCATGTCTTTAGCATAATCAACTGATTCCTACCCTCTTCCAGTCAATAAGCTGCCAAGTTTTAGGTTAACGAAGAATAGTGTAACCATTCTTCTCAACATTGGTCCAACATGAATTCATAATTATTTTTACAAGTCTGTGTGGTTTAAACAAGTGGAAAGCAGGAGAAGATGCAAAGACAACTAATTGAGATTCATACAACATATTAGGAGAAACTCTCTGCATTTGAAGCAAACTATAGAATGCTGCAAATTATTATTAGATATTAAACAAACAACTGGTGCATGAAGTATGTTGTTTATTGAAGTCCTTTCCAGTTAGAGTCAATCAACCTTAACCAAAAATAAGTACTATAATAAGAGTTGATCAATAACATCATGAACTAATCCAGCTGAAAGGCTGTATTCTGAGAAGCTTTCGAGTTCTAATCACATTTGATATCAAAGAGAGTGTTCCAAAAAAGACATAAACTTCCCAAGTCAGATATAAAGACAACGCATAAGAACATATTAAGTCTAAGATATGCATAAATAAGCGCATTAACAATATCTAAAAAAGAAGAAAGAAAAAGGCAAGAAATAAAAGGGATTAGTTGAGCATCAAATGGTAGTATTGCGGAGAGAATAGAGCAGTACATATTAATCAATAATCAAATATGCATCAAACCAAAACCAGTTGGGATCAACTACCAGAATAATCGGAAAAGTACATACTTAGAAAGAAAGAAAAAAGTTTTATGAAGTTAAAAGTTTAAGAAAGGGAGACAATAAGATGTATGAAATTCTTATCCTACTTCATTCAATTGCAAGGTTATCTGAATAGAATCAACAAACCGTTCAAAATCATTTAAGTAGCCATATATGTTCTCACAGCCGAAAAATGCTGAATAGTATAGAGGTTCTATGAAAGTCACTCCAATGCCACAGACAACCCTGTATAACAAAAAATGCAAGGTTTACTGTTGTTAGCGTCAGGATAAAGTTTGATACAAACAGTGTGATGTAGGTTTAGAGACCAACTCATCACTTCCTAATTGTAAATAATATCCATGTACTTCCAGTTCCCTGACAACAGCCTCACCCCATAAAGGTAAATAGATCAAATATTTCTCTTTCTTTTTTTAGAATTTATAACACACTAACCAGAAACTCACCCAGTCCAGATTCTGTTTCCATGCCGTTGACCATTAAAGTATGACTGGAACTCCGCCTCAACTTTTCGTAATTCATGAACTTCATTTAAATTTAGGCTAGCATATCTGTATCAAATTTATTCAGCAAATTTATACTTAATTTGGAACGTCTCATCGATTCAAACATAGTAAACACGAAGAGGCAGCAGGCATAAGAATATTATATGAAAGAGAATACCACCTAGGCATAGACACACAGTTCACAGAAGCTTATGAGTGCTTAACTAATATATGTCTAAAAAATTGGTGTAACGAGATCCAATATGAATGAATACAGGTGTTGGTTCTCCTGGAACTTAGCAGAGAGTACCTTTTAGTAACTTATGTAACAAGTTAAATTTGCCTTCTAAAAAAGAAGATAATCGAAATAGATCTTTAGTTCCTGTAAATAGAGTATATATCCCATCTCTTTTCATCTATATATCTGAATCTAAATTGGTTCTTCTAACGCCTCTTGAGATTAGTTCCAGAAAAGTATAAATAAAGAAATTGCAAATGCAAGCTTTCATCATAAACCAACCAAAAATGAGAGTGGCAAAAATATTCTTGATTACTTGGGTAAGATAACCTCGACCAGATTTCCCTTTCTTTGCAAGGCACGAGATAATACGGTTACATGTGGTGCCAAAGATCCAACTGATACCACTGGTGCCATTTCAGTACAAATGTGGATTGTGTGGTATCCTGACCTGAACAACAGTATAAAAAGAAGAACAGATGAAGTCTAGAAAACACAAATGTAATAAATATCTACTACTAATACACACAACTTAGGGGACTACAGTATATAACAAACTTATAACTGACAACGATAGAGGGAAGACAACAAGCTGGGGTAAAGGGAAACTATCAACATATTGGTGTTAAAAGAAAAACAAGCTAATTCAAATCATATACCAGAAGAAAATTCTAATTCACCTGTGTGACATCTATGCTATATCCTTCAGGTCAGTTTCACCTTTATGATTAAGAAAACTTTTTTAAAAAATAGATCACTAGAACTATGTTTAATCCAAAGAGAAAATCAAGCAATGGAGTATTTCGGTGAAAATTGTTAAATAAATACTTTTGAAGCAATTAAACTTTTGCCAAAAGTTTGCTTCTAAAGTCATACCTTCCGAAATCAGTCAACACATTGTTGAAAACTTACTTTCTACTTTTCCGGGGGAAGTGGCGCAGCTCTACCAGAAGCTCAGTGTCCTGTTTATGCATTATCTCAGAGAAATTATCAGTTATACTACCTATTGAATCCATGACCAGCCATCTAAATTTTGATGCCTCCTTGCTGCCAATCAAACTGGTAAGAACCATAGAGTATATCCTTAGTAGTAACTCAGCACTAAGTGAGAACTTATCTGTTTCATGAAACCAACAATGAGATCTTGGTTTTATCACCACATGCAAACTCTCTGGAACATGTGCCAAGAATCATCAAATTGACTAGGATAAGAAAAAATGAGAAGATACCAAAATACAAGAAACAGGATAAGTAAATGCATACTAAGTCGAAGACTCTGACCATTATATCTACAACTTCCGCATGTAACAAGAATCACTTCATACATCTTAAATGGCATTTAGAAAGTTCTGTTTTAAACTATCAGACATTAGTCTTCTGTTGAAACTGAAATGGATAACAAGACACAAACTTTTAAAAGTTGGGGAGATACGACATAAGATTACATATCCTGCATAACCAAAATCTAGCACAAGTAAAATTATCAAAAGAGACCAAAATGTACTTCATCAATTTCATACATTTTCAACATGATTAACCTAAAATACTCTTCCTCTTTATCATTGGTCACCTTATTGGTCTTATTTGACTGGGATTGCCAGCTCCGGCTGCTTTTCTATTCATGTTAGTTGACATGTTTTTCTTCACTGTCATTTTATATCTTTCCCATTACTATTTGATTTGTTTCACTCGAGCCGAGGGTCTTTCAGAAACAGTCTCTCTACCTCCAAGAGATAGAAATAAGGTTTGTATACACTCTACCCTCCCCATATCCCACTTTATGGGATTTCATTGAGTATGTTGTTGTTATTGTTGTTGTTGAATGAGATTGCCCCTCTTATGGTGGGTTCATGTGGTTGTTCACATGTAGGGTATTATGTTTTTCATTGAAGGAAACTCTCTGATAGGTCCTGCAAAAGATAAAAGAAGAATGCAAGAATAGTACCACAACCTTTTCTTGTATACATCAACTTTATTCTCTTTAGTTGCTCGATTCTATCAAGCAATGAACGTTTCTCTCTTTTACTCTATCAAGCTCTTCCATTGTAAAGATGCGTTATTTGTTCAAGTACAAGATATCTAGATAGAAGGCATTCAGTAAATCAAAATAAGAAGACGTATTACATATGTACTAAGTAAACTCGGATGGACAAAGTGCATCAACAATAACTTACTCTGTTGAGCTTCTCTGAAAAGTTTCCTAACGACACTCCTCATTTGAAGAATATTCTATAATAAGAAAAAAAGACGAAAAATATTGCAGTAGATGAAAACACGTAGTAAAGCAAGATTGAAGCAACTGAAAGAAAAACACTGCAGTACCTCATCACTACTCTGGTTTCCCAACCTATGTTGCAAAACAATATAGTATTTTAGTTACAATAAAATGGATAAACTTTCAGTCACACAGAAAAGCTAACTTATATGAGAAGGGAGAACGATGGATTCGTGCTCACTCTAACTGCAAAGGTCCACTAGATGAGCCATTACTCTCTGCATTCTTCCTGAAAAAAGTCGAACAAATCAAAACTGTAAGAAACATACAAGGAATGGAGTATTTATATGTTATCCTATAAATATATGATGTAATGATACGGCGAACAAATAGCAATATTTTTTCCAATTTTCATGCTAGACAAACATTTATCTGTTATAAACTTTCAGGAATACCATAATTTCGCTTAAACAAGCAACAATTAAGAGAAGGAAATAGAATCAGAAGGGAGCTAAATGAGCTATACTAGTAAAATGTATTACAACAACAACATACCAAATGCAATATAGGGTTGGGTGTATGCAGACCTTACCAGTAAAATGTATTACCTAACGCAACAAATGGAGGAAGCTTGAGAAGGTTTTCCATTAGACAGAGAGAAGTTGCTCCAAGAAAGAAGAGTTTTGCTGATGGATGAATTGGAAAGCATCACCGTGATCATTTGTCCGCTTGTTGTTACAGTAGCGAGTACGAGTGGGATAGTCTGACAGAGAGAGACGTGAATTGCTAGCTATGATAAATGGGAGATTTTAATACTTTCTAGTTTCTACCGTCAAGTGTCACGTGATTTGTTCAAAATGCCCAAACACTCCTTCTCCTAACTGTTTACAGCACCCCTCATAATCGTCAAATTAAAGCGAGGTTGACGTGGAAAAATTTAAATTAGGTTAAATTTGACTAATATTTTAAAGATTGTTTTGTTAATTATTGACAATTTACGATGCGGCTAAAATTCTCTCACCAACCAAGCTATCCATCCCTAGCTGATGTTAGTAGCTTGTTCAACAAGTGGCTTTGCTCATTCAAGTAAATCTCTTTCTTCCTTTAGTCCCTCTTCCCAGCAATAGTCTAGTTCAAGTTCATTGCATCTCAAGTTTGACAATTTGACACCAAACTATCTACTGTTAGAGACAGATTCTCAAAATTCAAAAACAAATTGGAAACGAAGTACGCCCTCCAAGAAGCATTTTTTCCTAGACAAAAAACAAACGAATTTCTTGCATATACTAATCATTCGGGATATGTGACCTCAAAATCCAACCCAAGTATTTATTAATGCAAAAAACAATAGTATAAAGCATAAAAAACATTAAGCACATGTTACAACAGAAAATAATGTAGCAAATAAACTCAACAGGTGCTCATGTACTTGAGATTTTTCTCACAACTGGCTTACAAACAGGGGCGTGTTAAATTATTGCAGTTGCAGAAAGATTAAAAACTCTCTGTTGCAACCGTGCTTGGGCAATGAGCCACAACGCTCAATAGATACAAATCAACAGGTAAATTAAGCGAAGACTCAGATATTCCTGTGCAAACTCCCTAGAAGCCCCCTTTACTTTGTGCTAGCAAAATATGAAAACCTCTATAGTTCTATCTAATAAGCAAGGAAAACATCTTTCCCATCATTAATGGCTCAATTTGCGCTTCTTTGACTGTTTTCTCAACCGCTCCCTCCTTTCTTCTTCTTTTATCTTCCGGAGTTCCTTTTCATCCTCTTTCTTTGCTATTTTCGCACTGGAGTACAAAATAAATTGAGATCAGCACTCAGCGTCCTCTCTTATTTGCACATGAGACTATTGAAGACATTATCATGACAAGATAAGTACTACGAGGAGCACAAATAGCAAACAGACAATACATGTCCTAGATACCTAGGTGTGTTGGGTATGAAGGAAAATGTTTTTTCACAGAAAATGTTATCTTGCTCGGTAAGTAAGCAAGAAAATATTTATCCAAGAGCATTTATATGTTATCTAGCAAAATACTATGGAGGTAAGATGAGATGGGAAGTGGCAGGGGGTGGGGATTGGGTGGATGGAGAGGACACAATAAACTTGGAATGCAACTCATAAAATGTGTTATTCCTACTACCATTGACAGTCATTTTCCTCATTTTTAAGAAAGTTTTGACCAACAAAAACATAGCAAATTGGAGAACATTTTCTTCCTCCACCAAGACAACCTCATCCCCAATCTAGAAAATTTTCTAGTTTTCATTAAATAGCTGTCATAAGCATTGATTTAAGGTTTCAAAATTGTATTAGAAAAATCCAAAAAAAAAAACATTTTAGAGCAAAACACAAAGGAAGTTAACTATAATTTTAGAGCCAACCTTTGTTTTTCTTCCTTCAGTATGTCATCAAAATTAGCCTTCATATCACTAATGTCATCCTCATCTTGATACCTGTTGGGATTATACCTGCAAAAAAGAGATAATACTCTCTCAGGCCAACAAACTAGATGAAATTCAACATTAAGCATTATCAAAACTAGCAGCACCTTGCAGTTTCAGAAATCTTAATTTAACCATATCCCTGACCCCACCCTGTGGGATATGTTGTTTCATTTAACTACATCACGTAAATAACATAAAATAAGTTTTATCTAAATCAATTGTATCAGAGAATGTAAATATTTAACTTAATCCATTTCCTCTGGGAAGACTCAAAAGAGTATCCACATGTACAAAAAAGTTATTAAAGGCTATAAAGTTTTCAAGTCTCACAAACCCTTAGATAATGAATAAACTAAAAGAAACCTACAAGGAATAATTTGATAATAACAATAAAAATAAAAATAGGAAGAATTAGTACCTAGACATCCTCCTAATTATACTAATAGCTTCTGCTCCATTATCTTCTTCTTCATGTCTCATCAGCTTTCTTGCACGGCCTCTATCTTCCAAAAAACGAGTTGCATTTTTAGGAGGCAGTTGCTTTATCTGTTAAAATCAAAAATCACGATCAGCATGTCTTCATCACTACTACTACTCTTTGGAACAACCACCCACCCCCCACGAAGGACCCAAACCAAAATGAAGGGTAAGTAGGTCTTCATTTTCTGCAAGAGAAGGAAAAGATAAAATGGATAGCATGCAAATGAAAATATAGGTGAGACCTGAGAATTAGACAACGACACTGCCTGTTTCTGCATAATCGGCTTATGTTTGTATGAAGGCACAGCTTGTTGTGGCATCACCTTTGATTTTCCAGATTGTAGTATTTCCTTTTTCTGTACCAAGTATTGCCTTGGAATAGAAGGTTGCAACTTTGAAGAGGTTGGCTTATGCAAAGCAGGCACAGTGCTTTTTACACCTGGTGTCAAAACCCTCTTGCCGTTTGGACTAGCTATGATTTTGGGTTGCACTCCTAAAGGCCAGTCAGGCCCACTCCCTTTACTGCTACCCAGTTGTTTCCTGGAATCTAATGCTACTTGAGTTTGTTTACTAACAGAAACAGATTTCTGACTCAACAGTTGATGTGGCATTTGACTGCTTCCCAGTATAGGTTTCCGTACTACACGATCATCTAGAAACTTTCTCCCAGTATTGCTTGAAGATTGCTTGGTGCTTGGTGGTAAAGCTACTCGTGCAGAAAAAAAAATATAGAATAAGTTTTCTGAATAAATAGATTACGCCTTGAGCCACTAAATAAATGACCAGATTAGCAACAAAGGCTTTATGAGGTAGAGAACCTTTTGATGGAACAAGAAGTTCAGCATCATTAGATAATAAAAAATGAGTAATATCTTGTATTTTTTAACATCTGCACCTTTGTTTTTAACTGCAGAAATTCATATGGCAAAAAATAGTTTAAGAAAGGCATCAGCAAATTATAGAGAGAAAATCAGAAGTAAAACACAATGAAGAGAAGTACAATCAATTTCCACTAAATAAATTCAGTACCCCATTATTGACTTTTGGTGCATTGTTGTTGGTACCAGATTTTGATCCTGTGTGTTTTGATGCAGAGCTCTTATTGTTCTACAAGAATAAAAATGTAATGTAACAGATATAAGGTATGCGGTATACCACTGACATCAATAGAAAGGTAGGTATGTGCCATCAATGCCCATAGGCTACAATAAAGATGACAACAATTAACCATACAATATTGGCATGTCATAGAAAGTACAAATTTTCCAAAGTGCAAAGATGGAACCTAAAGTTGTTGTCTTAGACTCTTAGCATGTATTCTACTAGAAAACTAAACTGAAGCACATGCATCTTCATATGAATTAAAACTTGATACATACAATGTGGTTTGACTTCATGATTTTTGCTACCAAATTTGGATTCTCCAATAGCGACTTGCTTTCTTGGATTACTCTTTGAGCAATTACAGGTTGTGAAGGTCCAAAGAAGGAACCATAACTGAAAGTCCCAGAAAAGAAATAGTATTTAAGACCAACACCATAAGCCGCAAAACTGAAATCAATATATACCCCCATCAATAAATCTTTAAACGGAGTAAGAGATACTTTTTCATGCAACTAGAAAAAAAGGGCCGCCCGGTGCATGAAGCTCCTGCTATGGGCAGGATCCGGAAAAGGGCTATTGTAAGCAACTTGCCTGGCATGCTGCTATACTTTTTGTAACTATGCCATGAAAACTAGAAACAAACCAGAAATATTAGAATTATAGTTCTTAGAATCTAGAATTCAGATTTTTCGCAGAAGTCCTAATTATCTTCAAAAGTGAACAACTTCAAAAGAAACTCCGGCAGAGGGATGACAATCATATATCCAAAGAAGACATATAAATAGACATCCAAAAATCCACTTGACATGGGTTTGAAAAAAGCAGCAGACTGGGTGAGAATATATTCATTTCACAGAATTGATAGATTCAATATCAAGGAAAATACCATATTGACAACAAACAAGGGTGTCCAAAATCTCTGAAACGCGCTAGTGGTACTTACTTGTCCCTTGGCAATGTCTTTTTAATTTCACGGGAAAGGTCATCAGCAGAACCTAATTCTTTCTTCATCTGCTTCCTGATATCTTTTTTCAGTCGTTGTCTCAGCTCCAAGTACTCCAACAACTCTTTTGGAGGCTACTGGGTTTCTTCCTCCTTATATTCATCTGCACCACATTCTTCCTCATATTCATCCAATTCTTCATACTCCTCATA